GCCCGGGGCTAACTTTGAATATAGGGACACATTTGGATGCCCGGGGCCACCGTCCCTTCAGGGCCCCCTTCTGCACGCCACTGAAACATACACACACACACACACATATATATATATACATATATATATATATATATATATATAATATATATATATATATATATATATATATATATATATATATATATGTATGTGTGTATACACACACACATATAAATATACACATATACATATATATGCATATACATACATATACATAAATGTATGTATATATATCTATATATATAAAGATACACACACACACACGTATGTATATATGCATGCTTATCTATCTTTCTATATACATACATACACATGTATATGTATGTGTGTATATATATATATATATAATATATATATATATATATATATATATATATATATATATATACATGTATATATAAATAAATAAATATATATATATATATATATATATATATATATATATATATATATACATATATATATATATATATATATATATATATATATATATATATATATATATATATATATATGTATACATATATACATGGTCACTGCAAATAGGATCTAACTAGCTCCATAGACATTACCTATCTTCTCATACATGAGTAATGATAGCGAGGTTTTACACACACTACCCGTGGGGACTCAGTGGAAATGGATGTGGAAATTCGAAACCGAAGTTAGATGTACTGAGGGATATATCTCTCACATGTATTCATATATATATATATGTGTGTGTGTGTGTGTGCGTTTACGTATATAAGCCTGTGTCTGAAAATCAGTCACTCTACATGTATCTTTTAAAAAGCTACTGGACGTAATAGCACCAAGCAGCTTTATCTTATCTGCTCTTTACAGTTCATTCCCTCGTTGAAACTCAGGCATCATTTGATACTATGGACAATAGATTTAACATAGTAATTTTATAAATCACGCAGCATCGCTTAAAAAACAACAACAGCAGTCTGATGATAAAAACGATTTTTTGTCCATGGAATTATAATAATACTCAGCAACATGTATTAGAATGGGTAACTTTTCATCGTTCCGTGTAAAGATAGCGAGTTGACTGAGAGCCTTTATCTTAGATGGAAATATTGATTCACTTTTAGAGTCTTGTTTTTTTTCCAATACACATTTTCACCTCTTTTTGTAGCCGTATTTGTAGAAATCTGAAATCCTATCTTACGACTCGGAACAGTAATGTCGGGTGGAAATAAGAGAATGTTATTAATACAGTTAGTAGATTGCAGATATGTCGTTTGTTTTCCTATACCTATTTTTACCTATTCTTGTTGTTTGTATCTGTACTTTTAGAAATCAGAAATTGTATCTTATGCCTCGGGATAATGATGTTGAAAGGAAATATTAGAAGGCTGATAATACAGGTAGCAGAGTATGTAGATAATGTACCTGATTATTTTGGTTCGACGCCAATCTTCACATATTTTCTGTTATTTGCAGCAATAGTGTGGAAATCAAAAATCACATATTGCGACTCCCGGTAATGATGATAATACAGCTTGCAGATTGTGTAACTATTTAGTCCTTTTTTATAGTACCTATTTTCAACTACTCTTGTTCATTGTAGCAATGCTCTACAAATAGGAAATCCTGCCTTCTGACTCGAGATAACGATGTTGGAGGAAATGATAAAAGGATGATACAGGTAGCAGAGTTTGTAGGCTTTCAAGTAAGATTTCAGTTACAGGAAGGTCACTCAAACCATCAAAACTAAAGCAGTGGTATTCAACTAGTGAGTCTCCTCTGGGAAAATTATCGTTTGTAAATGAATCTTTACTTTTTTTTGAGTTAAGAAATAAATGTTGTAGTTTTCAGTCCAAAAGGGATGGGAAGGGAGAAGGGAGAAAGGGAGGGAGGCAAGAGGGATAAGAGGAGAAAAGGAGGGAGAAGAGAGAGATAGGGAGGGAGAAGAGACGGATATTGGGGGGGAGAAGAGAGAGAGATAGGGAGGGAGAAGAGGGAGATAGGGAGGGAGAAGAGGGAGATAGGGAGGGAGAAGAGGGAGATAGGGAGGGAGAAGAGAGGGAGATAGAGAGGGACAAGAGGGAGAAAGCGAGGGACAGGAGAGGGAGATAGAGAGGGAGAAAAGGGAGATAGGGAGGGAGAAGAGGGAGATAGGGAGGGAGAAGAGAGGGAGATAGAGAGGGACAAGAGGGAGAAAGCAAGGGACAGGAGAGGGAGATAGAGAGGGAGAAGAGGGGAGATAGGGAGGGAGAAGAGGAGAGGGAGGGAAGTGTTCTCCTGCAATTATGTAATGATTTGTTGGGATAAATTTCATGATTTGTCTAGAACTTAACAGGCTCCTGGGTTGAGAGTACCTCTTGTAGTGAATGCAATCTACCAAAATTTCGTGAATACCAGCAGGAGCGGATCCAGAACTATTCTGAAGGGGGGGCAGTTGATAAGGGGGGGGGCGCTGATAAACCTCCGGTGATTGATTGATATTGTACCATCACTGTGTTGCTGTAGGAAATCAGTCTAGTTTACGATGTAGGTCATGCTCACTTTGAGTGGTTTGAAAATCGTTTATGGAAAGTTTTAGCCATGCTACTTTTTTATACCCTGCCACTACCTCGACAGAGAAAGATTGTCATTCTATGTTTTATAATGATTTGTTTTATAACGATTTGACAGTGAGAAGGAAAATTGCCAATTATATGTTTCGTTTTTGGATGATCCGAGAACGATGAAGCCCATGGGGTTCCACCGTCAGTATATCAAATGTCATTCCATAGAAAAGGGGCGTCGCACTTCCAGCAGAGGGCGCCAAACCAGTTACAGAGCAGCAAGGGGGCGGGGGTTGACTGTCACAGGTGCCCCCCCCCCAACTGAATCCGCCACTGAATACCAGTGGTCCAGAGGCTATATAGTCTCTTGAGCCGTGATGGTTTACCGAGAAACGGAAAAAAAAACTTAGTTCATACTGAATTGAATCACATATCCCTGAAGATGAACACAACTCTTGGGTTAACAGAAACATTTTCGGCTATATTACAAACAGAAGGGAGACAACGATGTTGCTGGGAGGTCCGGAGTAAGCTTGTGACGTCAAAAGTAAGAGATGTGTCTTGTGTGATCACCCACACTACAGAAGCGTGAACCGTATTCATGCAGACAAATGTACAAAACGTTCGAATGAGAATGAATATCTTCACAATACAAGCGATGTATTTGACCGGTTTCGATGATATCTTCATGATGAAGATATCATCGAAACCGGTCATATACATCTCTTGTATTGTGAAGATATTCATTCTCGTTCGTTCCTTTTCTACAGTAGTTTTAGTAGGAGAGTCAGTCACGCCTTGGCACTGAGAACCCGGGAGGACAGATTGCTTCACTGTGTTTTCCAAAGCAAGGTAGATTGATATGAACATGAAAAGTCTTACCTTTTGAAGCAAGGCAGATTATTCTAAGCATCAACAGTCCCGTCAAATAACACCTTTTGAAGGAAGACAGATCGGTCTGAGCATTTCCAGTTCTAACTAGTCACAGTTTTTAACCAAAGTAGATTAGTCCGGATATTGTCAGTCCCACCAAATCACGCTTTTTAAATCTCGGTCTCTTGTCGGCCACGCTACCTGCTTAAAGATGCTTAAAAGTAAAAAGATAAATAAATAAATAAAATATTTTTTTTTTGCTGCCAAATAGGCAGAAAAAACTCACTTTTAGATTACAAAGGTAAACACAATAGGGACCCCGATACCTATGCAAAGACATTTCTTCTAAAAACAGAAACGGTCAAGAATAAAATTACATATTGCTTAAAGAACTAACGACTAAACAGCTTGTGATAAGGACAACAGAAATAGAAATCTTTCCTCAGTATCAACATATCAGTTTCTGTAACCATTAGCAACAGCAGACAGTCTTATACTAAATACCTTGACAGTGACATTGTTTTTATATTCATTGTCGTCATCATAACACCAGTTGCAGTATCTACAACATTGTCTTTATTCTTTAATTCTGTGTATGAGGCAAACAATCTCAGGGATTTTCGATAAAGATTCATTCATTTGCATTATTTGAAATTTCTTTAAAGATTCACCGAATCATGCTATTTCACTGCAGACAGGAACGCCACGTGTATGAGATGACTCGGAAATTTTATCAGAAGAGGAAATTCTTGGGAGATTACATCTTCTTTATAGTTTAAACTGATAATGGTTGCACTCTGTCCATTATAACAAAACTCCAAGTGCTTACATATTGTTTTATAAACATTTACGAATTTTCTTGTGGGAAAATAAGAATCTAGTCATATAAACACCTTGCTGAAATTGCTGTGGTGATTGAATGCACTGCTATGCATAATTCATTTCTTTTTTTTTGCATTACAGAATATCCATTGGATATGCAAAGCACGCGACTTAGGATGGGATATATTTTTATCATGCAGCGACAGGGGAGACGACATATGTGATGCTATGACTTGAATATAAAGAACAACAAATATAATGGTACAGCAGGCATGATCTTAATATAAAAAAGATTAAGATCGCATCATGTTGCTATGTAATAATAATAAAAAAACTATTCGTTACCTTTCAGTCTGGTTTAGAATATAAGAGCCTGAAAATCCGAACAAAGTTATGGACATTATCACGATCGTGGGAAGTTGTCCTGGACACGAATGCCAGAATATGATACACATTAGAGTAATATATGCATTACATAATACGATCGACATGTTTCATGCTCGTACGCTAATATCTCCCAATGTTACCAGAACGAGAGACACACCTTGCTGATCTCGTGTCGCAAAGTACATCAAGCATTATACCATGATCTCCGCGTGAAAAGATGATCTCCTCAACAATCATATACACCTGATAAATATTTTCGGATCGTGAGATTACTGTATCGACCCGATTTCAAAGTATTTTATCCCCGGGATTTGTGGCAACATTGCGCGGCAGACGACAGAGGATCAGTTGCCCCTCAGACGTCGGAGAGCAAGCGTGTTGCGCTGTCTTGTCTCGTGTTTTCGACAAGAAAAAAAACAATGACAGTCTATTTCCTACTTAGCACAGTGCCACGATGACCGAACGATTAGTGTCCGAGATACTGAATAGGTTTCTAGGAACCTATATCGAGAACTTAGACCCATCGAAGCTCAGGATCAGCATATGGGGTGGTGAGTAGGGTTCGACCCCGTTGTAGCGAACATGCATTGTGTATCTAATCTTTATTTCCTCGAATTTCGGTTTTGTTCTTGGCCGTCGGAGATAGAATCCCCTCGTTTTGTTCTTATTCGATGGCTATGGACAACCACCCACCACCAAAGAAATTATAAATTGCAGATCCATTGCAGAAGGGAGGAAGAGAAAGAGCACTGTCTTTAACTATCTCCAACACTTTCTCTAAAGAAAATGCGCTTAAATCCAAACACTTGCGGGAAATACGTGGACATTATGGCACAGATCACGAAACACACAATAGGAAATTAAAAAAAAGAAAAGGAAAAAAAAAGGAAACTGATACGAGGCAGCTTTGTTTACATCCTGCAGTGCCACCAACGCCGAACGGATTGATACATCATTTCCTAAATCAGTTTTAATATTTCGAACCAGACTATTAAATCAATTCCCGACTCGTATCCACCATCTGGAAGAAATCTAGGAACCACGAGAGCATATTAATAAAAAAGAAATAGAATAATTTAAGAAGACATAGGGAGGGAATGGATAATCAGAAATACTAGATTAGGGAAGAAAGGCATTGGCGATGATGGTCTTGTGACAATCCAGCCAGATCAGACACACGTGATGCTTGTGTTGTATGTTGTATGTGATGTATTATTTTGAGGAATGTTGTCTGTCCTGTTCTTGTATGTTATAGATTGCTGTTATGATTTGTTGTATTTTGTAGTCATTTGTGTTGAGCTGTTTTGTCTGCATGGTTGTATTTTGTCTGTATTGCCTGTTTTATTTTTTGGGTTGTATTGTATACACTGTTGTATTATATATCCATGTACTACATAGGACTGTTTTCCCCTCTCTGTTGTACTGCATTGGGATGTGTTGTCATCTGTTGTATGATGCAATGTATTGCAATATGTCTAGGTTTATTTCCTACTGTATTGTAAGGAAAAGGGTAATATTGTCTTTACCTATGTGGTCTTAAGATCCTTAGTTCACGCACTGAAGCATATGGGAAGTGTACACCTCAGACTAAGCTTGGCTCTCTATGCACTCTTGGTTGAGGGTTAAGAAGGCTAAACAAGGGGCTCTAACCACAGCTGGCATTTTGAATAACCTTCAGCGAGACTTTTACGGCGTGATCTCTTGCATGTGTGTTTGTGTGAACTCTCCATTACTAGGGAATGTTGAGGAACTGGCCTCATGCAACATTTCATAATAGGTATGAATAATAAGGACTATCTTCACTGTGCAAGAGATGAATTGGGTGCATTTCAGTTAAATATTTATCAGATGTTATATATAATTCTGGTGAATATTTGATTGAAATGCAGCAGATGTGATCTTGGAGTGTAAAGCTGTTCATTCTTATTTACGCTTTGTTGTTGTTAATGTTGTTGTTGTGGTTGTTCAGTATTCATTAACTTTTGTTGTTTAATTTTTCTCTGTGATATATGTTGTTTGTTAACTTTGAAGAATATATTTGATTATTTTTTTGTGTGCCAATAGGATCTTTGTTTCTGTGTTGCATGTATTAGAATGCAAGATAGCATACAAATAGCATACAAATTCTAATCTTTTTAATAGGAATACACATTTGAGTTGGGACTTTAATGATATATTGGACTGTAGCTATTGACTATGATTGTGTAGATAAAGCAAACAATTTAATTTGAAGTAACATAACATTTAATGTATGGGAAAAGATTTTAATTTCGACATTGGTCTTCACTGATTCATATCATTGGCTTATTTGTTACCATGCAAGTTTAAATCCACTTTTTTCCCCTTTGGGTGAGGGCAATAGAAGGTTATCTGTCATTTATATATATAGGTGTATTTTCTTTTGCATACTGGGTATAGCTTCCTGTGTCTGCAACTATGGTCTGGTTTCCGTAATTGATTGAATTTTTTTGCAAAGTTTCTTGCATCCAAGCCACTTTTCCTCATCTTGTCAGGATTTTTTCCCTTTTTCCCTTTTACAATAATTTGTCTCTTTTTGAAAAAGAAATGAAAATTGTAAAAAATAAAACATTAAGAAGGAATAAAAATATGTGAATGGTTTATGGACACTCTATCTACATTCATTTTTTTTTCCCCATATATATGTACAATTTTTTGATAACCACTTGCTTTATGCATGGTGATATGAAATTACATGTAATTTAGCTGCTAAAGTGGTGTGTGCTGAGTGGCCTTCATTTACAGGTGTTGCATCATTAATTTTTTTTTTTTTTCCTTTTTCTTTTTAGCACTTGGGTGTGTATGCTTTAAGATTTATTTATTTATTTATTTTATTATTATT